CACATCATGCAACTGATGCTACGTGGAGTAAGTGGGTCACACTGATAACACAGTGGGCTTGAATAGGAAACCCCAGTCACCCAGGAATCTTGGAAGTGATCATGGACTGGCCGGAAGGCAAAGATTTTGGAATATTGCCAGAGGAGGAGGCGATGCATGCTGAAGAGGTCCCACTGTATAATAAACTGCCAGAAAATGAGAAAACAGTATGCCCTGTTCACTGATGGGTCCTGTTGTCTTGTGGGGAAGCATTGGAGGTGGAAAGCTGCTGTATGGAGTCCTATACGGCAAGTTGTAGAAACTGCTGAAAGGGAAGGTGAATCGAGTCAGTTTGCAGAGGTGAAAGCCATCCAGCCGGCTTTGGATATTGCTGAACAAGAAGAGTGGCCAGGACTTTATCTCTGTACTGACTCACCGATGGTGGCAAATGCCCTGTGGGGGTGGTTGCAGCAATGGAAACAGAGTAACTGGCAGCGCAGAGGCAAACCCATCCGGGCTGCCGCATTGTGGCAAGATATTGCTGCCCGGGTAGAGAACCTGGTTGTAAAAAGTACGTCATGTAGATGCTCACATACCTGAGAGTCAGGCCACTGAAGAACATCAAAACAACCAGCAGGTGGATCAGGCTGCGAAGATTGAAGTGGCCTGGGTGGGTCTGGACTGGCAACATAAGGGTGAATTATTTGTAGCTCGGTGGGCCCGTGACACCTCAGCTATCAAGGAAGAGATGCAATATATAGATGGGTGTTATTGAGGGGTGGACTTCACCATGGACACTATTGCACAGGTTATCCATGAATGTGAAACATGCGCTGCAGTCAAGCAAGCCAAGTGGTTAAAGCCTCTCTGGTATGGAGGACGATGGCTGAAATATAAATATGGGGAGGCTGGCAGATTGATTATATCACAGTCCCACAACCCCTCCAAGGCAAGCACCATATGCTTACAAAGGTGGAAGCAACCACCAGATGGCTGGAAACATATCCTGTGCCCTATGCCACCACCCAAAGCCCAGCTTTTTTGAAATGGAACATAGAACCAGATGGAACCATGATGGAACAGAACTGGCTTCAGCGTGCAACAGTCCAACACCGCACACCATCTTTCCTGCCCTGAAAGACTGTTATGACAGATGGACCCCAAAGTCAGGGACTAAATGAACTCAATGAATGTTTTAGAGGGATGGCCCATAGACTAAGGGAATGATATCTATGTGTAAATATCAAAAGACTGGAAAAGTGGTGGTGATTAATTGGAATGTATTGGAAAGTGTAAGGCCTGGGCATGACATAGATGATATAGAATAAGGGGTGGATACTGTCCTGGTTTTTTCTGGAATAGAGCTAATTTTCTTCCTAGTAGCTGGTAGAGTGTTGTGTTTTGGATTTAGTATGAGCATAATGTTGATAATACACTGATGTTTCCGATTCTCTCCCCCATCCCACCAGGGAGGGGGAAGTGAGCAAGCAGCTGTGTGGTGCTTAGTTGCTGGCTGGGGTTAAACCACAACACTGAACAAGCAGCTCCTAGATCTGCCTTGATATAAAGAACTCTCTTCTATGAATCTGAAAGAAAACTTTTAAGTTTTGCTACTTATCTTGTGAAAGAAGTTGTCTTTTTGTCACCCTTTGTAGTTAATCTATTCCTTTTTGCAGTGACTGCAACTACAAGAGAATTTAGGTTGGTCGAACAAGAAACCAATGCAATCTCTTGGTATAGAATTCCTATCCTTCGATCAGATGCCTCTGAGAGGAAGCTGGCTGTTGTCAGACTGCAGGGCCTGGATCTGGAGGTGCTATATTGATGAGCAGTGGCAAGATATCAAGGGCCGATGATTGAAAAAGAAGAAAGGAGCCAGCAGACTGTATAATGAGCTGGTTGTACGAGGCAAGACGACTGCCGGATCTGGGGGGCATTCCTTGGCAGTGTGGATAACCTCAAGTCAATGATGTGGATGACGTTGGTGATGCTTCTACTTTCTGCTGTTAAAGGGGATATATTGGGGTGCAAAGCTTTTGGGTGCCAGCGCTGCAACCCTAACCTCCATTGAGCGCCTTCAGAGATTAACACTGTTTACTGGACTGTGTTTTCTCACTCTAGCTATCTTTGAGGCTGTTTCCAGGATTGTATCCTTGATATTTCTGCTCTGTTTGAAAGCCAAACAGCTGGAACTCCTGACTTTGGCAGGTAGCTGTCTTGCTGAGATGGGAAAGATATGAGTAGATGTCTCATAAAGGCCACAACGGTAAAACATACAATTCTTAAAGTATTTGATTTCAGTTAAAACTGTATGGCTTCTGTTTTTACCACGAAGGGAAAAGGACTCCTAACATGGTTGTCAAGGGCTGAAGCCAACAAAAAGCATTGTCCCTCAATTGAAAGCTCCAGAAGGAAAGTAGATGGTGCATTTAAATAGCAAATGCAGGGAGAATTGTGGTGGTTTATTTAAGTGATTGAGATGGAAGAGTATTTTCCAAGCCTTTTATAGTTGTGAGTTATATATTGGGTATGGCTCTTGGCGAGTGCTTATACCGACAGGGTAAAATCCATTGGCTAACGGTACTTAACTATAGCTGCATTGGTAGTTTCGATATACATAAGCAAACATTCAAAGGAAAAGGTAACCATAAGTACCAGCAAGAAAGTAAAAAATGAGAGGTTAAGGAGAACCATTGCCAAAAAAACCCCCCAAAAAATCTTATAGGCGCTGTATACTGGACCAGGGAAAAATCCCTGTGGTGAAGGGGAATACTTGGTGGCCCCGAGACAGAGCAGTGTTTCCTGGTAAAGGACTATCTGGCATGAAGCCTGAATAGACAAGGAGTGGGGATTTGCTGTCAGGGTTGATAGGCCTTTGCCTGTGGTCACTCTTCCAGCATCTACAAGATTTTGAGCACGTGCAGTTCCTGTAAGCATTTGTGCATAGCGCTAGTCGAGGAGGCCATGATGCGGACTCATGTTGTAATGCATTGCAGGCAACAGGGGTATGACTGATGGCCAGGAAGGAGCCTTTTGACCTGAGACTTGTGTATATTTTGGGCCAAGGAAAGTTGTTCTGGTGTAATTCCTGAAAGGAAGGTCTAGTGGTTGCAGATGTGTTTGTAATGCTCTTTGTGGCCTGAAGTCAGTTGTGCTTGATTCTTGCTCTTTGTTTACCTTTAAAACCTTACTGGGAACCTTTGGATAGCTGGAGGTGTTCATCCAGTCAAGGAAGTAAGATTGCCTTTGGAGCAGCCCTCTGCTGTGTTGGTGCCAGGATCATTTCTGGGTGGTTCCTTCATCTGAAAGCCTGTTTGAAGGAGTAGAAAAAAACCAAGAACGATCTCAGAATCTAGCATGTCATAGAGACCCTATTCAAGGGGCTAGGGAAACTTGCAAGGGAGGGTTCTGTGCCGGAGTCCTTGGTCTCTACAGCAGTTATCAGAGCATGTGTGCACCACAGGTACGGGTCCCAACAGTAGAGGTATCCACTGAGCAGTGGAACAGTGTAAGCAAATGGTCAAGAGTGAGTGTTATTAGTTTCAGCCAAAGAACGTGTATTAAATGCAGATGTGCACCAGGGACAGATGATAGAGGCTGTTTTAAAATAGAAGGGCAATTCCCAAGAACATGGATCAGGAAAGCAGAAACAAGCTCTGACTCCATCTGGGCAGCTCGGAGGAATAAGGTGGTGCCGGGATGTGGTCTGTTCACTGTGTCCTGGCCCCACTTTGTACCACCTGGGCATCCTGATATGTTGCTGAGTCTTCACCTTGAGAACTCTGTGTGCAAGTGCTGGATGTGAATAGCCAGGTCAGCAGTCAGTCATAGATTGAGATCTGCTTTATGCTTCCTGTTTTTGCCAAAACAGAACAGTGTGGTAGTCTGTGTATGCAGCAGCCACCATACCAGCTTGTTTAAATGACCAAATCTGTCTGCAAGGAAAGTTGGATGCCCCTGCCCAGCTAAATTGTTTGAAGGTGCCAGCAAGGAATAAACGCTTGCTGATTCAGGGAATCTGATTTCTACTCACGATGTGGAATTGTTGTGAAGAAGCATTTTCTACTTGAGAGAACTCATGGCCCCACACGCTGTGACAGCAAACACATAAGTAGACAGTAAAAAGTACAGGCATTGCTCTTCTGAACTTACAGGCTGTGTTGTTGTCATCAGCTATTACTAATCTGACATGGCATTATTTGTTAAAGACATGTTTCAGACTGATGGCTGATTGAAGACCTTAAACATTTTAGACCCTCTTAGTTGGGCAAAATTGCATATTTAATAGAAGCATGCAGTTTGCACTATCGGTTGCAAGGTACAAAAAAAATGCATGTTGGAAGCTTGTTTTGAAGTTGCCAGGTTGAGCTGATGGCTCTTACTTCTCTTAAGACCTCAAGCTTTTCTTTTAAGAGCTCCATGGTTTTCCTGTAAAGGCAGAATATACGGATATTTGTATTTTGCCACAATTAAGGCTTGCAACTGCTAGCAGGCATAGTATCAAATTAGTTTTGAATAGGTCATTGGTTTGGAGGTTCTCTTTGCCCATGCCTTCATTTTCATTTTTGAGTTATCATTGTAACAACTGGTCTCCAGTTGGCCATAAAATTTTGGTTTTCTGACTCGCCAGTCTGCCACAGTGCAGATGCAGTCCGAATGACATATGGGTTGCATAAAATCTAATCTTGGACCTCGGCATTTGTGACAGGAGTGTTGAGACACACACGTTGGCTACACATTATTAATTTTATTCTTTAAACTATTGTTACATTAGGAAAGAAAAATCCGTGCATGACCTGTGGTCCTTGGAAATCAATTCACGGTTTGAGACTTGTGCAAAGTATGGAACCTGATGTTTGGAACAATGCTTGATTGTATGATTTATATCAGTGATGTTTATTTGCACAGCTGTTTGAACTGAACACCTTTGAATTAAGATGTATAAAGCTGGAAGGTGTTTGCTCTTGAAATGAGGAGGAAGTTGCCTGTGTTTTATTGATAATACAAATTTTTCTTTTCAGGGCACAGGTGCAGCAAGTTTTGATGAATTTGGGAATTCAAAGTACCAAAATCGCAGAACTATGAGCAGCTCTGATCGTGCAATGATGAATGCTTTTAAAGAAATAACGAATATGGCAGACAGAATCAACCTCCCTAGAAATATAGTTGTAAGTTCATGTCTCCCTTCCCTAAATTGTTCTGGCATTGACTTAGTTAGCATAATATAATGAGCACATGAATTTTTGATATTGCTGCTAATTAAATGGCCTAGAGTTAATTAAATTTAGTCTTCTTGCTTTGAAGGATCGAACAAATAATTTATTCAAGCAAGTGTATGAGCAAAAGAGCCTGAAGGGAAGGAGTAATGATGCTATTGCTTCTGCTTGTCTCTACATAGCCTGTAGGCAAGAAGGTGTTCCAAGAACATTTAAAGGTAAGTTTTCAGTGATACAGATTCAATTTTGCTATGAAGTAAAGGTCTGGTTACTGTCACTGTAGGAGGTTGGTTTTCTCATTCCTGGACTTTGCTGAATTGGTTGTTCTCAGCTACAGCTCACCTTTGGGGGGGGAGGGCAGGAGGGAGTCTGGAAATTTGTTGATGAAGTGAGTAGGCTCTCAGGCATGGGATTTTTGGTCGTAATGCATTAAAAATAATTAACATTTGAAAGTCATTCTGAGTGTTGGTGAAACTTAAGGTGTTGCATTGATCGGAGGATGATGGCGACTGTTGTAACTGAATTTGAACCAACAGTTCTGCAGTAAATATGTGCAACTTTTCCCTGACAGGGATACAATTTTTTTTTGGCATTGAGTACCAAATTTCCCTTAGGAAGCAAGCTGTATTAATTAGCTCCTTATGAAAAATGCGCACTTGACTGAAGTGATCTGGAAGTTTCACAAATGTGCAAAGCTTATTTAGTGACGGTAGCCTTCATGATATTGGCCTTCTTTGTGGGTCTTAATATATTGAGAATCAAACTTGATTATTTTGGGGGAGCAAATGCTGTCAAGCCTAAAGTTTTAATTTTTACTCTTTGTTTAGAAATATGTGCAGTGTCCAGGATTTCAAAGAAGGAAATAGGCCGGTGTTTTAAACTCATTTTGAAAGCTCTTGAAACCAGTGTTGATCTGATTACAACTGGAGACTTCATGTCAAGATTCTGTTCCAATCTGGGTCTTCCGAAACAAGTACAGATGGCAGCAACACATATTGCCCGTAAAGCTGTGGAATTAGATTTGGTTCCTGGGAGAAGCCCTATCTCTGTAGCAGCTGCAGCTATTTACATGGCATCACAAGCTTCTGCAGAGAAAAGGACACAAAAAGGTAAAACTTCACTTTTTTTTTTTTCCTTCTTTTTTTTTTTTTTTT